AGTCCTTATAAAGAGAATGAAGACGTCAACAAGTTATGCAGCTGGCGTGAAAACCGAAAACAACATGAACTGCTAACTGTTGGTCTGGTACTCTTTGTGCTGTCCTTGTAACTGTCACATTTTCATCATTGTTCTTGGTTTTTACCCCATGCTGAAAATAAGCCAAAGTCAAAGAACATTGTGTTCCCGTGAGATTCCCGTCGCTAGCGCTCAATCACGCCCAAATTTTCATCCATCTGATTCATCCGATATTACACTCTAGGCACTTTGAGTTATGTAGGAATTTGTCAGAGGTCTTATGTTTTCCTCGCATTCCGTCGGTATTGTTGCAATGTTAAAGAAGATCTTGTAAGTTCCACCGACACTCATGTCTTAGTCTCGTTTGCGAGAAGGAGAAAGTTATAATTTTATTAATCTGCTTTCATTTTCTTCGAGCTATTTTTCCTGTCACTTGATAGACTTACCGCTGTTTTCTTTACCTGTTACTTAGAAGTTACCCTGCTCATACCACTAGAGTCAATGTACATCCAGCAGACAAGTTTATTAAGAAGAAAACTCGGATAAGTCAACCTACTGAACCATCCAAACCATTGGGTGGCCGCTATCTGATTTATTGTTTCTACAAAATCAGGTTTGAAGCAAATAGATACATTAATGGTCCTCTATCATTGTCTACTGTGGACTTCTCTAACTTTATTCTATCTCATTGTGTAAAGTGAGTACATATGAAATGAATAACAGTATGCTAACGAGGAGGCTTCCCTCTCTGCGCGTTGTTTTGTGACGTAATCCCGCTGGCAGATCAATTTCTGTGGCTGAGAATGGAAAATTGCTGTGTTACCTTCTTCCTAGTTGTTTTTATATGTTCTGTTGGTAGTTTATTTGATTGAAAGGTCCATCAATGTCTGCGAATATGAGGAACCCGATGGATCTTATGGAACCGAAAGTGAAAGGAACAGATGTTTACCGCTAGTTCCATAGAGAAATCCAACACAAAACTACGATTTCCAGACGTTTAAATTGAGCGTAGAATCATTGCAAGAAGTGAAAAGGTTATTCTACGCTGAGAAGGCGACGACGTCGAAATGTTAGCCCAATCCTGTTAGCTTATCAGTGGAACAAAGTACATTGAACTTAGAATATTAATCGCCCTATCAATTGAAAGAGGGCGCGTGTAGCGCAATGTTCGGAGGCGCCCTGCAACAGAGACGTGGAATCGGTCCCCGCTCATGGCCCACTATGCCTTCACATCTCTCCAGGGTCGACAAATTGGTATCAGACTTGTCTGGGAGGATAGCAGCACCGACTGGATACATCGGTAGGCCACCGCGAGTCATTGTAAACGCCAGATATGCATTCATTCACCTCCAAACGTTGCTTAATGAAATCGAACGGATGATGCATCCTTTAGGAATTGATCGATGCCGAGAGGTTTATGCTTTTTTGTCAGCTGAGAGGAACTCTCCATTCATATAAGTTTAGATTCTTTATTTAAATATTTGTCTACAGTTTTTATCTTGGAATCGTCCATTGCGATAGCACAATGTAGGATTCTTTCTAAAAGGGTCAGCTGTTGTTACATTCGATGTAAAAACCTGGAGATGGTCTTGGAAGCATTCTTTTGCTCGCCCAGCCGTGAACGTACAGGAGACGGCATGGGTGTTCAGCGTCCGAAAACAAACACCTGCTAGCCAAAGGATCACTGGTGCTCCGTCCACTAGGTTATACTGTAACTTTCCATAAATCGGTTTAGAAGGACTTGTTTTGTAGTAATGTTTTAGAAATATTTGTGAGTTTTCGAAGAAATCGATAGGACTTCCGAATCTGACTTTGTTAGTTGCACAGAGTGGTCTTGCTGTTGCAGTGATGTAAGACAAAAAGTTAGACCTTCACGTTCCTCTTCTTTTGCGCCGTCTTGCTTGCTTAGAATAATTCGAAAAAAAAAGTTTCTGATAAGTAGCTTAAACGGTAAAAAGCAAAATGTTTGGTGATGATGAATCCCTTCGAAATGTGTCGTGTGTTTGACTTCATTGAGCATCATAGACGTTATTGAATATGTATGTACCCTAAACTGACTTGTTTCGATATCAAATGGAGTTTTTTATCCTCACTTATAAATCTGGCACCGATTCGCGAATACCGGAGGCGTGGGAAGCTTGGATAGCCTACGAGATGGGTTTCAGTCAAATACCATCTTTGTTTCCCGGGGGGAGCGGGTCATAAGAAGTAGTTTAGAGTTAGAAAATGTCGTAATGATGTAAACATCAAACTCTTCAATCGCGAACTGTTTTATTTCGTAGTCGTGCTGTTTTTTATCACAGCGGATGCACTGGTTTCATCAACGACTATTTCAAACTTTGATCCATTCATTGTTCCAACATATCACTATTGAATAGTTCCAGTGGTGGTGATGTTCCAGATCACATAGCGTTGTTTTCGCACCGATCCGGAATATTGGCAAATGGATACGAGCATCCACCATCAGGATTCTTTCCGCTATTCGTTCCATCTCACATGATGCCATTACATTGGTGTGACATCAGTTCTGCCTTTCATTTCGTACTCATCGACAATGCAATTCACTTTTATGTAATTTCTAAGACATTTTGAAGGTAGAAGGACTAAAGCTGAATAGGAGTAGTGGGAGAAATTTTACGGATTTCTGCTTAGAAGTCTGCAGATTCGTAAGTCTGTCCGACGCCTTTTCAGTTGAAAATTCTTGATCACCGTGCAGAAATTGGTCTGAAAGCCTGTTCTTCGTAGCCCTCATAAGATCAGGTTTTTACAGCTTCTGCTTTGGCTAGATATCGTCGAAATGAACGCCTTCATTTCGTTCTTCTTCTTTATTTTTGTAACTTTATTGCTTAGTTTCTCGCTTGACATCTCTCTAAAGGGTTCAAGAACGTGTGTAACCTGTACGATCAGACGTCTTCTAAGCGTAATAACGAAAGATGTCCAAGAGACTGATGGTTTTTCCTAACAATCAATCGTGTTTTATTCCTCCATTATTGTAGTATTATACATCGTTAACTACGCTTTCTGACGACTTTCTTTGCCCTTCGGTCCAGTCTATCGGTTCGTTCTTTTCCATTTTCTCGTTACCTTCCAGTTTCCCCAATTTGTTTTGTTCACCGCTTCGTCGAGTTACGACAGATTATTGACATTCATCCTTCAACACAATTACCCAGGTTTAGAAGGAATTCACGGTTTGCATCTGACCCATTTATTAATGAACCTATGTCTCGCCAGGACGTAGCGAACTACTCGAGGCTACCATCTTTTCAGAAACAATAAAACAGAACGGCGTCTCATACTAAAATGTTTATGTTCTTCCTCTCCCACATGCGAATGAAGTAGGAGCAGCAAGGATAAGTGGAAACTTTGCTTGTACCCACTCAAGTCATCCGATAGTAACAGAAGAGGAATTGTAAGAAGAGCAAGTGATCAGTTCTTATAATAAGATGTTCTGTATGTTACTATTCTCTGTTAGAAGTGAAACACACTTAAAATATATCATCGCATACCAACACTTCCGACTGTCGTCTAGAGGCTAACTAAATTGACCACACCTCCATATAGCACCCTCTGACGTATAGCTAATAGATTCGTCTGTAGAAGATGTAGCGCTGACAGATTAATCTGGCCGTGCAAGTCATTTGTTTTATAGCCCTTGCACATCACAGCCTTCATTTACGAACGCGACATGAACATTGCCATCGATCTACGCACTGAACTCTAACCAGTCTGTGTTCAGTGTTTCTATCATTGCAATGCAGTAGAGATCGCTTTTCACACAATGGATCGGCTGTTATGTCCCTTTACTACTACTATAAGTGCTATGATTCTTTAGCTTACATATACATTAACTTATGTCTCTATCTTTACTTTGTTCGTTGTATATGAACATATGCTACGTACGTGGTACTTAATTCTTGAGTGATAGTGTTCATGTTCTATACTGGTGCAAACCACACTAATCTCATCCAATACTCATGCCTAGGCGTTCCCAATCTATTACCACGTGTGGTCAGCTACCCTTTTAATTTGATTGGTAGGGGTTCGCCACTTTGCGAATAAGTGTCCCACAAGACAATAACAATCTCTGGTAGGGGTCTACTGTTGCCAGGATTTCCAATCGGAGAAACAGAACTTCCTCAACTCACACAGCCTCACTGGGGTTGTGAATCCCTTGTTTGTATGACAGTACTACATTTTAGAACATGTACCACATCTATTCATGATGAAGTGGTAAGCCATTAAGAATTTAGAGGTTTTAGAAAATGTTTGCGTGCTACATGAAGAATGAAAGGATAAAGCTTTCGGCGTTGATCAATCCCTTAGGGATGTTCCATGCATTCGACTTCATTAAGCATCGTTTGGAGGTGATTGAATGCATATCTGGCCTTTACAATAACTCGCGGTGGCCTACAGATATATCGAGCCAGTGCTGCTGTCCTCGCAGACAAATCTGGTACCAATTTTCCGACCCTGGAGGGATGGAAGGCTTGATGGGACATGGCGCGGAGATCGATTCCACTTGTGTGTTGCAGAGCACCTCTGACCACTGCACCACTGCACCACATGAGCCCTAAATATGTGTTATATATTTAGTTGTTATCACCTATCACGACTAAATAATTACAGCGTAATGGTGAAGAATGACTCTTTTCAACAGTCTGTTCCTTTTAGATACTATTGAGTACAATACGATTGAAATCTTTCCTGTCATTTGCAAAAGTTTGTATGTTTTGCTGGAATTAGACAGATCTGTGCCATTCTTATGAGCGTCTACGGACTCGGTGCTGTGTTCATGTTGCCTCCTACGCAGTGTCTGTGCTCAGCTGCTTATTACAACAACTGCTCGACGGCTTGAACAGACAATCGACGTCGTCGCCAATGTAGTCATCGATTCCTCATCAACGTTTCGTTTCGTTTCTTCTCGTGTCTTTTCGTGTCCTGTTTCTCCATGAATCGTTTCGTTTCAGATGGTATGTGCGGGAATGGAGTCCTCACAACACACCAACGGCGAACTCGCTCATGGGTTCGAAAATCTTGTCTGCGTAAGGTAAGCAAGCGACAAAAGTCGACTAAGAAGCAATTGTTGGTCAAGTAGACGACGGTCGTTAGATGATTGTTACACTACCATAGAAAAAATGGCTGCGCCTTTTTGAAGCAACACTCGAACTCCAACTCCAACTACTGGTAGTTCATCGAAACGGTTAAGAAAGTCCACTCGATTTCTGACTGGACTTTTGTTTATCATTTTTCTTATTGGAGAAATTCCTACGAACAGTTACTTGTCGATGCTATATGTATTTGTAACAAATTTGATGTACCGTAAAGGGGTTTAAGATAGGACAGCAGTTCGAGTCTGTCCACCCAGTTGGTCGAACGTCATCTCAACCTGATTGTGAGACGTTTGCATCTATTTGCCACAATGAAGACGACAAAGGAACTGTATTTAAAGATCGGGAATATAATTTGTCAATTATTCGCAAAGGTTTAGCACCCAAATATCGATAATGTCTCCAACAAATCGATAAGTCGTTTTGTCCTATTTTCTATAGAAACGTTACTGTAACCTGTTACTGCAATATATAATGAAAATAGGTGGAGTTCCCAGATTAATTGTCCTCTTACTGAATAAATCGGAGTTTAAAGTTTGCGTAACACAAAAAACGAAGTGCTTGTGAGCTGTTAACTCGACGACTATACATGCTTTTCAGATGCAATGATGGCTTTTCTCTTCAAGACCAAATTGTGAATTCGTCGGGCCAAGTTTGGCACTCGGAATGTTTTGTGTGCGTTTTGTTTCATCATAAGTTTGTGTCATCCCCATTTTTATGTAATACACTCTTTAATCCATTAGGTGTTTTTTTTGTTTCTTTTTTCTTTCTCTCTCCAAAGTTAACTATAGGTAGAATATTATTGTTATACCTTTTTATTTTCTGCCTACTATAATTTCGCGGCAGAGTAGTAAGCGAAATACAACCACAACGTTGCTGAGATATTTGCAAAACTCTGGACCGCAGGTGTCTATGGTGGAGAACGAACGCGCTATTATCCTTTCCGGGGAGTAACGCGTTCACCACCACACCATGCGTGTCCTTCGTTTCGCCTGTCTCTCAGCTATTTCTATCGATCCTTGCCACAGCAATCACCCGTCAGTGGGGTTGATCTGGGGCGCCCAAATCGACATAGAACCCAGTTAAGCTGCGGCTGTAGTTGAAATCACAATGTTATGGCAAAGATCGATAGAAATAGCTGAGAGGCAGGCGAAACGAAGGACCCGCATGGTGTGGTGGTGAACGCGTTACTCCCCGGAAAGGATAATAGCGCTTCGTTCCCCACCATAGACACCTGCGGTCCAGAGTTTTGCAAATATCTCAGCAACGTTGTGGTTATAGGTAGAATATTTTCTTGATACAGTAGATCCTAGTTATCATAGAATAGAAAAGAATCCGTGAATAATATGTTCTACGTGGGCATGGCCTCCACATTAGTGAGGATTTCCGAGCATAAACTGGTAAAGTGGTATAAACGAGAGACTACAACCTGTACATCGGACCGCAAATTGACTGTGATCTGTTTGTCGACGATGTTCCTCTTCATGACGCAGTTTGAGCTTTAGACTCTGTTGCTTTAGTACTAGTATTCTAAGCTCTTCTGTTTCAGGTGTGCACAGTGTTTTGAGCCGTTTCCTGATGGGATTTACTTTGAATTTGAAGGCAGGAAGTATTGTGAACACGATTTTCACGTTTTATATGCACCATGTTGTGGAAAATGCAGTGAGTTTGACTTTTTCAGACAGTTTGGCTCGACTGCACATCTCCTTTGTACTGATTTTCAGATGAGTTCATCGTCGGCCGCGTTATCAAGGCGATGAATGCGAGTTGGCATCCGGATTGCTTCCGTTGTGAACTCTGCTCGAAAGCTTTAGCTGATGTAGGATTTCTCAGAAACGCTGGAAGGTGAAGCTTTGTTTTTATTATTCTTCTTATCTCTTTGTTCTACACGAGCCGACGTAGGAGACCGTACTGCTCTCAGCACTTCTTACAATTGCGATTTATTCCTTACATCCGTCATCAACAGATTTTCCCGAATTTTGTGTGTCAGTTAGGCTACTGCATGAAGGTGTTTGGTCTCCTTTCTGAACGTCGTTGAATCGTCTGATCGAGTCAATTCTTCCTGTAACCCTAGGATGGCCGTACTAGGGCGTTCGCAATTCTTCACTACAGGTAGTCTCCACCCTCCAAATAGGTACCCTGCGCTACCCGCATCCTTATTTTTATTATACAGCATGTAACTTTATACAAATTCTGGATCCTTGTTAGAAGGCTTTGCTCATCTATGATCTTATGCGTGAACACGTGGTTATAGAGATGTTATTATTATATGATGATTTAGAAGCAGCAAAATGGTTTTATATTCCAAAATTAGAAAAATAATTAGTGGCATCTTGTCACCGTTTTTTGGATGTTTTGAACAGTATAATTTTCGCTTTGCATGTATCTCAGCTAATGCTATCGATCTTTTTGCCATCAGCAATCACCCGTCAACGGGATTGATCTGGGGAGCCAATATCGGCATTGAACCCAGTTAAGGCTTAGTTATAATCACAATCTTAACTCTTTTATTTACTGCCTTTTTCTTCTTAATGGCAGGTTATGTTTCGAATTATAACTCGTATGAAATGCTGAGATATTTGCAAAACTCCGGACCACAGGTGTATGCAGTGTAGTGGTGGTGTAGTGGTGAAGTGCGCTGCTCCCCGGTAAGGACAACAGCTCGTGTTCGTTCTCCACTGCATACACCTGTGCTCCGGAGTTTTGCAAATATCTCAGCATTTCATACGAGTTATAATTCGAAACATAACCTGCCATTAAGAAGAAAAAGGCAGTAGATAAAAGAGTTAAGAGTATAATTTTCATTGACAGGGTTCCTCCTAGGTACCGAATTTCAAGCCTGATTTTGACGTTGTGGGCGGCCCGCATAAATGCGAGTCCTGCACTCTGACGTTTGCCGCTCTTGGAACATTTTGGAAATTCGAAAATTTAGTTACATGGCTGTACTTTTCTTGATAGATAATGTTTTCTTTGAAAAAATGTCTTTGAAGAGCTTGCAACATTTCCAAACCATGGTGACTTCCAGGTATGAGTGGAAAGTTTCCATCCATTGTAAGCTGTAGCTTGGTCATTAGAAAATTTATACCCTCGGTTTGAGATTTATACCCTCGGTTTGAGATTTATACCCTCGGTTTGAGATAGTGGACGTTTCGCAATTTATCTTGTTTCCACATGATACAACATCACAAATGCAGATCCATGCCGTTCTCAAATCCGATTTTTTCCTTCTATCCATCATCGACGAAGATCTCCGGATTTACATGTGGGTTCGCCTCTCGCTGGAGGATTTTTTTTTTTTTGGTCTTTTGAATACCGTTGAATGCTGCTCGAGTCGATTTGCCCTAAAATTTTGGAATAGCCGTACTAGGGCGTTAAGAGCCAGGCAGCCAGCAACTCTTGTGGATCGGTTGGTGCTCTTCATAGAAAAGTGTTTTGAATTTTCCAATCCTTGAAGGTTTGAAGACTTATATAACCTGAGAAGGAGATTTCTACCACTGCGCTAATTGCTTTCCTTTTTTATGTCAAAAATTGTTTTGAATGATCTGGATGGTTTTCCATAGTAATCATTTGTTGGAAGTCTGTGCTAGGTGTGACTTCCGTTGATAATTCTATAATCTGTCTTCTAGTGGTCGTGAGAAACCCGATGCAGTTTGCTCCAGGCTGACATTTGGTTAGTTGATAAAGTGTTTTTCTGAAGTGAGCCGCCCAGAATTGGCCCCATTCGTCACAACTAGTAGCCTGGACTTACGTTAATGTGGAGTGAAATCATCCAGCGACTATATTTCGTCCAAGACAAATAACAACTCCGACGTTTCTTTGTCAGTAAACGAGCTTTGAAATTTCTCCACCGCCAATGAGTTTGAAACTTGTTTCCTTTTTCTTAAACGCGCAGAAATCTTTTTGAAAGTAAAGGAAAGTATCATAGTAGAAAAACGGATTTGGCTGTTTAACCATTTACATTTCAGAGAAAAGTGGACAGGCGCTACGGGAAACTGTATTATGTTAGCTTTATCGTCTTTTTTTTATAGTTAGTAACCGTTTAGGCATTTTATTAGATATGTTGTTTTGCAACACGACGGGTGTGGCGCAGTGGTTAGAGTCGCCCTGTAATACACCTAGGTTCGATCCCACGACTAGGCTCACCAAGTCTTCCATCCGTCTGGATTTGGCAAGTTGTTACTAGACCTTTCTGGGAGTATGGCAGCACTGGCTCGATACATCGGTAGGCCACTGCAAGTCATTGTTTAGGCCAGATATACATTCAGTCATCTCGAACTAGGCTTAATAAAGTCGAATGAATAGTGCATCCTTCAGGGATCAACCAACGGCGAGAACTTTATCCTTTATCCTTTATCCTTTATATTGTCTTGAGGATCATTCTAGCAAACTGTTATGAGTCTCCTTCCCTTGCACACAGTCCGATATTCGTTCCTATCTCACTCATATCTTTCATGTTACGATATCCGTTCTCATGCCACATATATCTGTCATGTTTTCGCCGGTGGTCAGCTGATGGCAGACTACTGATCGAGGCATAATATTCAACATATATATTTACATATATACATGTATATATATATGTATATATAATATGCACAAATATACTGGGCGTCCCTTTCCCTGTCCTCGATGCGCTGGCGAATTAACAACTGGAACACAAGCATGTCACAGTCTGTGTACAAAAAGTCACGACAAAAAAAACACTTTTCTAGGAGTATAGTGGGTCAGTAAGCGGTGATGCATTTAGCAAAGACTAAAACACTGAGTTTTCCACTAGCCGACCTTGTTGGTGACTGCGCAAATCAACTGTTGATTTAAAGGATGAATAAAAATAGTTGATTTAGTCCTTTAAAAACTATACAGCTGAGATAGAAGAGCAATAGTTTTGTAGAATTAGGTGTTTTCTAACAACTGCAAAAGATTAGTGGACGTGAATAGTTTGGAGTGTGGTTCGTCATTGCAGGGCACTGTGTCGCGAGTGCAACGAGAGAGAGAAGGCGGCCGGCTCGGGCCGATACGTCTGCCACCGATGCCACGCGATGATCGAGGACGGACAGCATATCAAATTCCGCGGCGATTCATTCCATCCATACCATTTCAAGTGCAAACGTTGCAAGTGGGTTGAATGCGATTCCTGAGGATTTCTAGCCGACTTGAAATGCTTAGAAAAGAGCCAGGAATCAATCTTACTGAGTGACAACAAACTGTTCAGTTTTAAAGTGTTTGTGAAATCGGAAATTTATTAAATTTCATCACTAGTTGTATATGTATTTCCTATCAAAACAAGTTGTTTTTCTTTATGACTGAGTTTTTGTTTTCTTCGCCATTAAAAAGATGATCATCTGAGCCAAACCTTTTTGTAGTAATGAGCTGACTGTGCAATCTCGTGAAGTTGGTGGAGAATTGTATTGTTTGCGATGTCACGACACTATGGGTATTCCTATTTGTGGAGCATGTCATCGACCAGTCGAAGAAAGGGTAGTGACGGCTCTAGGAAAAAATTGGCATGTTGAGGTGAGTCTGCGAAGAACATAATAAAACATCACGGAACTAGAAAAAAGGTACCCCAACGATAACTCTAGCGACAACAAGGTCCCGTTTATACTGCCCTTCATTTCAAATGAAGTAAGTGCAGCTATAAAACGCTGTTCAAGAAGAGCCAGTCTAGAGAATTCGGTAATGATAATCGAAATACCACCGAGTAATCTAAGACGCTGGCTAGTTCGTAACCGCTTATACGACGTCTTTGTGCAACGCAAAATTAATTTGCCCCACTGGTAGAGACGGTGACCACATGAGTTCGGGTACAGACTATCTGATCTCTTGTAAAGCGTGCGGGGACGAATACGTTGGCGAAACGGTAGACCAGTCTGCGTACGTATAAAAGAACACCTAGTCGGCAAACGTAAGTCAGATACTTCACTAGGCACGCATAGGACGCAGAAACATAACGGAGAAGATTTTGAAGTAAGGGTTACGATCCTCGCGCAAGAATCGAGAACACAAGCGCGCAAAACTCTAGAGGCATTCTGGATTAATTCCAAGAATCCGGAAATGAACCGCAGGGAGGAATGCCTCGGTATAACGCGTGATATTGGACAGTATATAAACCTGTTATTCTGATGGGAGGGGCACATTACGCTTCCATGTGAATTCTGTGCGGTCGGTCTTCACACGACATACTCAGTGGAAGCCTCATAGAATGTGAATGTGCAGAGTTATGTTAAATGTGATTGAAATCTTGGTTTAGCGTTTTCTCTGCTTGGTTATGGAGGTGTTTGGCCGAATGGATTGCTGTCAACTTGACCCTTCCAGGCTCTGAGGAACGCGAAATCCGCCGAAAAGTCAGCTTGTACGTAAATAAAGAAATAAAATAGCACTTCGCGTTTGCTGAACAGAAGTAGAAAGAATTTTTAAAAAATGAGCGGAAGAGAATTATCCAATGCGAAGGATCTGCTAGTGATGAAAGAAAGGATCAGAGAACTAACTGGAAAAGAAACAGGACCGGATGATTGTCCGGTGATAGTGTGATAATAACTTGTTTTTCCTGGACAATCATACCTGCAGAAGTCGATGTTATTATCAGCTAGCACAAAGCATAGTAATATTTCGAAGCCGACTTTCCTTGAACCTCGGTATCACTAATCAATAAGTATTCTTTCTTTGATGAGCTTGCTTACAGGTTGATAATGAGTGTTGTTTTAAATGTTTTATGTCGACATTGAAGCGGATAGCACAGTGGTAGTTATGCCGATCATCACGACCACAGTGCTGGTTCGATCATGCTTCGTGCCCACCAGGCCTCTTATCCCTACGGGGTCGGGAGATTGGTACAGGACTTTTATGGAAGAAATCCTCTCTCTGTAATTCAAATGGGAGCGCTCTAGCCCGGTTATCTCAGGACTTTAGCGGAAATCGATTCGACCAGCATTCTATAGCATTCAGGATGAAAGCAAAATTCTCAAACAGCAGCCGCAGCCACATTTGATAGTTGGACGACTTCCGTTGATGACGGATGCGAGGAAACGAATCGATTCTGAGAAGTGCTGGGATCTGCTCAGAAGAGGCGAAAGAGGGGTCATATAAACAAATGTCAACATTAAAGGGTCTCAGAAAATGACAGTCGAAACACTAAGGAGACATGGAGAAGGTTTAACAAAGTGGAGGAGCGACTCATGGGAATCAGAATAGAGATGGAGGACGGTGTTGGAGAAGCTGCTGCCTACTTTACAATGGTTTAGGGCGTTCTTATGGGTAAAGAAAAAAGAAGATAAATAGGCTTGTTTTCAGCACTTTGTCTGCTATGTGTGCGAGAAGCCGTTCCTTGGTCATCGGCACTATGAACGAAAAGGATTGGCGTATTGCGAACAGCATTACCATAAGGTAAATTCTTACTGTGTTTCACATGTTTATCTGCATAAGTACTTGTAGAATTTTTAATGACTTTGGTCACCTGATTTTTTTTGCAACATATAGCGTTCGGCTAAAAGCCTTTCTTATTCTAGTGGTTGGAAGAATCGTTAGGGGTTTTCATTTTCCTAATTCTATTACTAAAATAATTCGGTAACAGCGCTTTGTTATTGTTACGGATAAAATTATAAATATTAAGGAGCGAGGTAACCTCTTTTTAGCCAAACTTTCATCTTCTTTCCTCTCACACTGAATATGGTCTATGTAACTTTGATTCATTTTTTTGATCTTCTCATATTTTTTCCTTGGGTGCTTGGATAGTTGTATGGCCCGTCCTCACTGGTTGTGCGGGCCTCGGCATAATTTCCATTCGTCGGTGATTTGCTGGTCTGGCCATTGTGGTTCACTGGAGTCCAGAGGTCAGCCTGGCCAAAGTCCAACCCAGGTCGTCATCACCACGAGCAGCCTTTGTGGATCAAATGGAGATTTGCCACCATGCGACTGCTTTCATGTCAGGACGGTGGTTGATCCTGGCATTGGCTTACTCTTACTTGTGCTTTCTGATAGAAACGCGGGACTCCTCAGCATGGGAGACCCTACCGATAGGATTTATCCCCCCACTGTACGTCGCAGCCCGACACCCAGGAACACCTCCCATCCACGATGAGGCGGTAAACCGTTGGGAGGGTTTTTTCCTTATTATGTTTAATTCATTTTATCTTTTCTGTTTTCTATTTTACTATTATTTTATATCCAATCGCCATTAGGTCACTCAATATGAGGTATTTATTTTTTAATCATAATTTCCTAAGTTTTTGAAGAAAAAAGAACTGGCGCTGTTCTCGCTAATAATGTCCTTTCATTAAGCTTTATGGAAATGTCTGCTACAAATGTGGAGAAGCATGTGGTGGCGAAGTGTTCCAGGCGCTTCAGAAAAGTTGGTGCATCAAGTGTTTTACATGCTCCCTTTGTGACAAAAAAATGGATCACAGGTGAGATCTGTATAGATTTTATTTCATTCTGTTCATTCATTTTCAATTATGAGAATGTACGGGATTTAAAACATTCCTCATCAAAATAAGTTTGATAAATTGATTACCATCTCAACGGTTTACGGACTCATCGTAGCTGGGAAGTGTTCTTGGGTGTCGGGCAGCGATGTACAGTGGGGGATTCGTCCCTCTGGCGGGACCCCTCGAGATGAGAAGGAGTCCGGCGTTTCCATTATGAAGCCCAGCTAAGAGTGAACCAACATTCGGATCCGTCACTGTTCTGGTACCAAACTAGTGGTGTGGTAGCAAATCTCTCTCTGATCTACATGGGCGGCGACTACCTGTGGTGGTGATGTCCTGAAGCAGACTTTGGTCTGGCTGACCTCAGGGCTTCGGAAAACCACAATAACTAGGCCATCAAAACTTCCAAAAAAAGACTATGTTAGGCGCACGTACAACCACTGACGACTGGCCATCCAAGTATCCAAATAAATTGTTTACATGGCATGACACTTATTCAAAATCGCAGTGCCGTCGAACATAAACGCATCCCTGTAAAATTCCAGGTTTTCGGACGCATTAAATTATCCAAAAAGTAATTCTTTTTTGTTCATGCCGTTGTACTGCTTTGTTTGCAGATGAGACTTATAATTCTTTATTACAGGACCAAATTCTATGAATTCGATATGAAGCCGACATGCAAGAGATGTTATGATCGCTTTCCAATGGAACTGAAGAAGAGGATTTCGGAAAGTCTGAAAGACCGCGAAATCGAAAACCAGCGGCGACGGTCCCAAAGCCCATCCACGTTGAGGCATACGTGATTGGAAGTGCTCCCTTTCATCAGCTGAAGACCAAAAATGTTCATCGTCGTCATCAAATCCTGCCAACATAGACCTCGTGTGATATATCGAGTCGTGCATCTGTACTTCTATTATATTTTTATTGAATTTTTGCTGATCATAGACTATTATTATTGGCTGATAACGATCAGATAGAATATCCTCATCCAGTAAGATGTGCACATACATCTGAACAGGTGAGGTTTTTAAGAAAGAATTGTGACCAGTCTTACCTAGATTGTGATTGTTGTTTTCAGTATCAGTACTAAACTTTCCGATACTAATCATGTAGCTTCGAATTCTGATGCAGTATCTGTTCAATTTGGCACTTCGTATTATATCAGAAAGTAAGCTTTGCAATCCATCGCAAAGCTATCAAAGTCTTATAAATTAGTTGACATACAACCTCAGTCTGCAGTGTAATCACCAATGACGTCTATCACGTATTCATCTCATCGAATCATTCTAGCTCGAGGCTTCTATGCTTCTATGCGTTGTTCGTAGGAACTTAATCCACTGGTAGAACTTCGTTTCGGAGCTGAATGATATCTATCCAGAAGTCTGGAGACTGTGAGAGGAATGATGATGAGGTCTTCGCTGGGTTCGATTGTGAAAACCCATGTTCCGAATGCGCTTTCTGATCATGCAGAACCAATAAGTGGCGGAAGGATCGAAATTCGAAGAATTCTAGAAATGAAATAGAACTTAGCCAATTTCTTCAGGCGTATACCTCGTATGATGCTGCGATACTGACAAACAAATTCTGACAGTAGCATAGTTGTAGGACGAACGAGTTTTTTTTTTACAGCAGAGAAGAATTTGAAATGTTTGAAAAACGTAGGAGAATGGATGACGCTGAGAACAAGCGTAAAGCATCGTAGAACACACAGCGAAACCCAGTTGTGGAGCAAAAAGTGCAATAAATTGGACGGAGCCTCTGCTAAGTGGGCAGGTTGGGCTGGCATGGGTTTGTATCCATCCACCTTAGCGAGTGAGCCGGACTATTACACATCAAATAGATGCGACAGAAACACGGATTTAGGCGTCGAATCCTTAGTGTTAAATATCGGAAAAGTAATTAGATCAATATTTGGCCAGTAAATTTGCTTACTAAGGCCCGCCGAGGTATCAAGTCAGTATTTTCGTCCTCCCAGAGATGGCCAGTTCGCCCGTTCTTTATTTATCACGTTGATTTAGTCTTGTTAGAGGGTTTATTAGAGGTATTAGAGCTCGAATTTTGTGCGCATGAACCGTCGGCTGATGGTGATTTCAACTCCGGTCTCGATCGTCTTACCATAGAGAGTGATTATGCGCAAGTGGAGATATTCAGTGTAATGTGAAAAATCTTCCGCTTGTATTGCTTCACAACTATGGGTCTTCAATCACAGCCAATTTGTTGTGTAACCACAAAGTGTGCTTTGTTGATGAGAACCGGTAAGTTTATTTTAACGAATTATTTGTGTCCAATATTTGATGGTAAATTATGGTATGCAAAGCCTCTCCTCCACCTGACCATTTATGCCTGCCTGATGAACGCATAGCAGCTCTAAAATAACTAGGTGCCGAAAACCCGGCTGTACGACTTCAAGATGGGCCTCAGTCTACGATACGTTGGAATTGAAAGTGGGGTCACATCGATGACTTCCCATTTCATCAAAAGAATTGTCACCAATGAGCTGAGCTGAAAACATTGAAGCAATTATGAATACAATAGTAAAGCTTGAGCTATTTACAGCGCTACTCCAATGCAGCGAAACACAGTGTTCAGTGTCGTTATCATCAACAACGGTATTATCCGAAGCAAATAGAATGCTTTTGAATAATAAGAGTTATTCGGAAGAACTGGGTCAATCTCAAAACCACACAACAAATACTGTTCTAGATCTGCCAGTGACACACAACTAAAAAGGTAAAAGCTATTCCTAATAAAAGTCAACGTTATAAGTATAGCAGATAAGAGAATGCTGTAGAGGAATCGATATGTTCAAAGACTTTTGGATGAATAAACGCTCTTAGTAGAGCTTTTTTCAAAGCAAGTGCGAATTACTCTTTAATTACTCTGCCTGAAAACTAATCCATGTATTACGGTACAACTAGCAATGATTGAAATTGGGAGTCGTCTTGATTATATACTGATTATCACCTGTATCACCTGTAATCCAGTCGTCGAGTGACTCGAGCGGGCGCCAGTAAATCTACTTTTCCCTGTCGCGTGGAACCAGTGGGTTCTGCTCGCTCTAGGGACTCGTTGGCATTACATCTTTCTTCTAGGCTTTTCGTGAAGAACTCTGACCATCGGGTCGGTGGTCTTCCTGGAGTGCGTTTGATATTCTGAGGAATCCAGTCACTAACGCCTCTTGTCCATCGGTTGTCATTCATAGGCATAACGTGTCCAGCCCACCTTTCCCTCGATTGTTCGACGTACAGAACGGCATCTTTGATTTTTGATCGTGACGTAGGTCGAGACTTCGGTTCCCATCCCTTACTTGTGTGACATTAACATCGTCCTTTCGACTGCGCGTTCAATAACGTTGAGTGATTCTTCATCCTGTTTACGTCGTGAGTGGGTTCCTGACGCATACGTTAACGCAGGAAGTACCGTTGAGTCGAAAAGGTGGGCACGGAGTCGGGTGTTCTTTGTCCTCTTCACTACATCCTCGATGCTCTTGAAAGCTCCCCAAGCCGCTCGTTTCCTTCCGTTAAGCTCAGGAGCTACGTCGTTCATAATGTTGATTTCCCGACCTAGATAGACATAACTGGAGTACTCAGAGATATTCGTTCCGTTGAGTGTCGATGAGGCATACGAAACAAATCCGTTTCTCATGAACATCGTTTTTTGAGATTTAGTCAAAGACCAATCATTCCACAAGCTTTATCAAAGTCGGTAGCCATTAGTTCCGCTTGGCTAACGTTTGGTGCTATAAGAACTATGTCATCATCAAAGCGAAGATAATGTAACTGCCGACCATCGATTTTCACTCTCATATTATCCCATTGCAATGTTCGCATGATATTCTGGAGGGTAGCGGTAAATAATTTTGGCGAGATAGTACCGCCTTGCCTAACTCCTTTTTTGACGTCGATGTCAATATCGCTGTAGAAAGGTGATTTCTTGGTTGTGAAATTTCTTTGGTGGACGGCTAGATTATATAGGAATACCAAGTAGTTAAGATGATTCGGTCGGAGTTTGCTGCTCGCCTTTGTGTATGCCACGCGGGACTTCTTGTAAGTAGCAGTCACAATGCCGGAAACCTCAAACTTGGGTAATTAAACCGTTTATCATAATTATACTACAATTATGGCATAACAATACAACTGTACAATTAATACAACAATGATACGGGCTGTGAGTAGGCGTAACCTGATCACTGATGTTCAGGTTGCTCGTGACTGAAGAGATTGGGATAACGGCACAACTGTGTAATTAATGCAACGATGATATAGGTAATACAATACTGTGTGATATTTGGCGATATGTAAGCTGGGTGGATAAAGATGGAATTGAGATGGTAACAAGTGATATTTTTTTTTTTTTTTTTTTGGTGGATAAAGATGGAATTGAGATGGTAACAAGTGATATTCGGCGATATGTAAGCTGAGTGGAT